AAAATTTTGATTCCGACCTCTCGACACTCCTAGGAGGGCTCGAGGCTGTGGTGCACGTTGTCGGAGGACCGCGACAAAAAGAGGAAGAACTCTCTTGGCTAGAGTATTTGAATCGAGGAAACGCTCATGAGAACAATATGGGGACAGCGCGACGAGACATCCTGACTCGCATCCGTCTCCGCCTCAAAACCCCCCACACTGGGACCTTGTCGGATGTGTTTCAGTCTTACCGCGCTGCATTGCGCAAGGGGAACAGCCACGCCTTTGCCAATGCTGCATTTCGTGCATCTGTGAATGTGGCAACAGGAAAATTGGAGAACATCTGCTTGTGTATTGGCGCTTTAGGTATGCCAGCTTTGCGTGCCATTGAAACTGAGAAAGCTTGGTTGCGGGGAAGTGCAGAGTCTGTCGCTGTTCATGAGGATGCTTTCGGACAAGCAACTCTCGAAGCTGCACTTCTTGCATTGCGCATGGAAATAGTTCCTGCTCATAAGACACGATATCGATACCGTGTGGACCTCTTGTCCTCCTTCTTGTACAAATTTTTCCTTTATGTGAAGGACAGGGTATCCCAAGCGTCCCCTTCTCTCCGATCCTCAACCGCGGCAACTTCTCTATTAAGTGCCCGACTTCGATCGGCGGCCATCGCTCCTGAGAAGCACGTCGCACTGGCAGATACGGACCAAACGTACACGCGGCGGTGGATGGAGAAAGTACCCCAAGTATGTCGCGACGTTCAAAACGATGCGAACAGCAGCAGCAGCACAAGCGGCGGCCAAAACGATCACCTGCCTCATGTGCCTTTGCCCAAGGACTACCAGGGTTTCCAAGCATCCGGGGAGGCTGAGTACGTATCGGATGTGTTAGAGAGAGAAGGCACCGTGTATGCGGCCTACGTCAAGAGCCCTCGCTCTCTGGGTGTGCTTGCAGACCTGCGCACTGCGGCGGCCAAAGCTCTGCCGGGGGTAGTCTATGTGCTGACAGCTGCAGACATACCGGGAAGTAACGACAGCGCTTATTCCCTCGGGCCCCCTGATAGCGTTGCGCCCGACACTGTCTTCGTACCACTTGGTGGACGCGTGTTGTTTCATTCCCAGCCGCTGGCACTCGTTGTAGGCATATCCTCGGAGGTGGCTCGACGAGCAGCCAAGCTTGTGGAGGCTGTTTTTGAGGGTTTTGAGGCTCCCATTGTAAGCATTGGGGATGCTCGTGAAGCACGCTCTTTAATGGGCATAAGAGATTGTGTCAAACGCGGTGATGCCTCTGCTGTACTGGCGGCTGCGCGTTTGGAGCATGAGAAAGGGGATCCTGAAAGCGGGTTGGATGGGGAATTACGATTTATGGAAGGGAAAGTACGCGCTGGCTTCCAGAAGCACTTTTACCTAGAGACTCACACAGCCTACGCTATTCCCGACGAAGGGCGAATGTTGATTTATTCCTCGACTCAAGCTCCGCAGGCGGTTCAAGAGGTTGTAGCTCGCGTATTGGGAACCTCAATGAATACTGTCCAAGTAAAAATGCGGAGGGCTGGTGGCGCATTTGGCGCCAAGGCCACGCGTAACTTGCCTCATGCGGCTGCAGCAGCTGTGGCTGCCAAAGTATTACGCCGACCAGTGCGTTTGACGTTAGACCGGGCTACTGACATGCAGCTTACCGGTTCACGGCACGCTATGGAAGCCGACTATGCAGTAGCTTACAATTCAGCCACGGGTCTTATCGAGGCAGTCAAATGTGAAATTTGGCTAAATGGTGGATTTTGTGCCGATCTATCCTTCACTCCTTGTCATGATCTTGCCGCGAACTTGGAGCAAGCCTACTTCATTCCCAATTTCGATGCTTCCATCGAGGTGCTTCGGACCAATCTGCCTACAAGTACGGCTATGCGAGGCCCTGGAGTCGTGCAAGCATCCTTCATTATTGAATCAATCCTCGATGATGTGGCTGCGCGGCTGGGCAGCCACTTCACACCTGAAGAAGTTCGTCGTGTGAATTTTTTCAGGCAAGACGAAAAGGGAGAAGGCGCGTCGTCGAGCATGATAAGTACTGGCTGTCTCCACATGCCAGCCGCACCTGTTAGTCACTTTACTTTGCCTATTATATGGAATAAGCTAACATCCTCAGCCAACTTGGAAAAGCGTCGCGAGGATGTTCATTCCTTTAATCGCGCAAATCGCTGGCGTAAGCGTGGGGTGGCGATGACACCCGTCAAATTTCTTAGTAGTCTCATGCCCATGCAAGCCACAGTAAACGCATACCCGGATGGGTCGATCTTGATCCATCATGGTGGTTGTGAGATCGGGCAAGGCATACACGCCAAGAGCGCCCTTGTGGCATTACGAGCTTTGGCGAAAGTGGGAGTCTTAGCGCCGCCAACTCTGGACATGATTCAATTCGCTGATACAAATACGGATATTATTCCAAATGGCGGTTTTACCGCGGCCTCAACTACTTCTGAAAGGGCGTGTGCGGCGGTAGATGCAGCTTGTCAAGAGCTGGTTAAACGTTTGAAGCCGTTGCGCGATCGATTGCTTCGAAACAAAGAGAAAGCCCTGTCTCCCGCAAATTCTCTGGAAGGTACAGGTCATGATGGTGACGGCTCCGATGGGGGCGATCGTCCGTCTCCAAGCATCTCATGGGTAGAACTTATTCGCTCAGCCCTTAGTTTTCGAGAGTCCATGGATCTCTGTTGTCATGCTCAATGGCGTCCGGAACCCGCAAGCCACTACCACAATTATGGCGCAGGGCTGTCGGAGGTTGAAATCGATGTACTTACGGGAGAAGTGGCGCTACGAGCTGCTCACCTTTTGTATGACTGTGGTAAAAGCATAAATCCGGTTGTGGATTTGGGACAAGTTGAAGGCGCTTTTGTGCAAGGCCTTGGATTTTTCCTCATGGAAGAAGCTCTTATTGCATCGGACGGCGTGCTTCAATCTCCAGGAACTTGGGATTACAAACCACCTTTATTACCGGACATGCCATCGGAGTGGAAAGTGGCTCTGCTTGAGAACGGGAATTTCGACAAAGGCTTTCTTTCCTCCAAGGCATCTGGTGAGCCACCTCTGATCCTATCCACTTCTGCTATGATGGCCGTTCGTCGTGCAGTAGTTGCCGCGCGCACCGAACTTTTCGGCGTTGGGGCGGAAGCTATTAAAAACTTTCGCTTGGATGCTCCGGCGACACCTGAACGTATACATCGCGCTTGTGCAGCAAGCATGGGCCGCCTCTCCTTGAACGGAACTGCTGGGGAAAGGGCGTGGTTGGATGAAAGTCCACTGCACCAGGTGGATGTTGCTGTGGCAGGTGCGGGGCTAGGTGGCCTAGCGCTGGCAATCGCCTTAGATAAGTTAGGTCTCAGTGCGGGTCTCTTTGAAAGGGCCGCGGCGCTACGAGACGTATCACAAGGCTTAGTTGGTGTAACACCCAACGGATTAAGGGCATTGGAGCTGATTGATCCACGTTTGAAAGATTTCGTGATGGAGAGGGGCAAGTACAATACTGAAGCTTTCACCAAGACAGTTGACGAAGAGGGCAAAATCACGGAGCGTTATGTGCAGTTTGAGGCAAACAACGTTAGTATTCCTTGGGCCGACATTCAACACTCCCTTGCTCGCTTGGTACCGCGCTCTATGATCCATTGCAGTCACGACTTTGCCGGCTTTGACGAGTGTGAAGACCATGTCACTATTTATTTCAAGAATCGCGTGGAGACAGCCCGTGCAGCGTTGCTAGTGGGCGTTGATGGCCTTTTCTCTGTTGTTCGGAAGGGCTTGGTGCCAATTCCTGAGGGTAGGGGGGATGAAGTCTGCGAGTCAGGCCACACAAACTGGAACGCAATCATGAACCCAGGCGAATCCAGTTTGCCATATCCTCATCCGGTAGTGAGCCTGACCTACCAGAAAGAAGAACCGCCTCGATTTTTCTTCATGATCGAATGTGGACATGGCAGAATCTTGTGGCAGGTACGGGTGGATGATCCTGGCAAGGCATTTACTGTCGCCCCGAAAAAGGGTCACGGCCGCCTTGGTCTTACAGGTGTAAAACAGCGCATACTAGACCTTGTGAAAGACGTTCCAGATGTGCAACCGTATATCGCAGCCACACCAGAAGAGAACATTTTTGAACGATGTTTGCTTTTTCGTAAGTCTTTGCAGCGCTACAGCTCTCCGGGGCGGCGGGTAGTTTTAATGGGCGATGCAGCCCACGCAATGCACTCTGTGCGCGGCCAGGGGGCCAATATGACCTTTGAAGATGCACACTGTCTGGGACTAGCTCTGGCGGCTAAAGGTGTGGGGCCTGCTGCCGTTCGTGTGTTTGAAAGAGCGCGGATTCCTCGTGCTAATCTGGTGCAATGGGAAAGCAATACGTACTACAAACGACAATTTGAGAAAAATACAAGCCACACGTGGGCTCTAAAATTCCTGAATTTTCAGTCGTATGTGGCCGATTTTCACAAGCATGAGGCCTTGCCTTCGCACTTGTTGTAATCAGAGATGTGTGGAATCTGTGCTCTGCACAAGTGTTGCTCTAGCATGGAAGTGAGAGTGATCGAATTGAATGAATCTGCAATAGGGGTGCTATGATGGAATAGCTGCGCGATGAGGATGAACAATGGCAGTCAGGCGGGAGCCTGGAAAGGTAGGAAGCGGATGTAGTCTGCAGATAGAAAGACCACGGGTCGCATTACATTCAGACATGCAGACAATTTCGGAATGGGGTAATGAAGCATCATCTTATTGTATGCATAACAACGAGAATGAACTTACTTAGTCATTGGCGGCTAGTGGATATGCGGATGTGCAACTAGCACGGTCGTCCAAGCGGGAAATGTGCATTATATGTCTTGGAACGATCCAGAGCGTGTTTAAATGGGAGCTTTCGTACAAAGATATGGTTCGCCGTAGATTTACAGGAAAATACTGTCGTAGAAGCTCTACATGTACTACTCTTGGTCGAATAGATGAACCACCCTAGATAATTGCGACAAGTGGCGACATCAGGGATACGACAGGCGTTTACAATTTTTTCTTTACTGGGCCCTTTACATGCTTCATAAGCGCCATTACTTACTCGCTGTCTTCCTCCAGTACCTCTGCACTGCCATTTTCTCTTCTATCACGTTTTTTCTCATCTTTCTGTATAGCCACTTTGACTGTCAACATCTCCCTTTTTTTCCCTCCATCTGATTGCGCACTTTCTTGCATCTCTTCTACCATGAGTAGGGGTACATCTACCGCCACCTTGACGTTCAATTCCCCCAACATTTTTATTTCTGAACCCTTGGGCAACCAAATATCTTGTTCGTCCACATGTCGCTTGAGCTGCTTTCGCATAGCTGCGGCCAAGTCTGCTTTTGTCAAAGGGTGCTCTAACTTTTGCCCGTCGACGGCTACATTTCTCGTGAAAGTTATTGCCCTTTGCATGGTCCGAGACTTGAAGTAAAGGAAGTCTCGCCGTTCTTCCAGTAGCGTGCGCTCTTCATTCGAACGCATTACCATGTGTTGCAATTTGTTGTCATGCGTTGCATAAACTGCCTTGCGTCCTGGAATCAAGAAATTGCGAGCGTACCCTGGCTTGACAGCCACCTCCTCACCAGCAAAGCCACGAAAGGCGAGATCTTCAAGTAAAACAACGTTGACCATCCTTTTCTTGGACAAGTTCCGGATAATTGAGGGCTTGAAGGACAAAACCGTACCTGTCAGGCTGTTATAAGGGGCCCACATGAAGGGAAGAAAACGATTCAAGAAAAACTTTGGCTTGCATTGACATTCATAATCCCTGCCATTGCATAAAAATTCGGTCCAATTTCTATTTGGTTCTGTTGTAAGACACGAATGGAGACGGACAATCCCATCGGAGGCTTCTCGAAGCTTGACAGTGGCCGATGATGCACTAAGAGCAGGGTCGGCAACCACAGGATGTTTACCTGTTACGTCCCAACATGGTCACTGACAGAGAAGTGGTGCAGCACAAAATCTAACTCCCCCTTCGGTGACCTGCCTGTGCGATTGGGTAGACGCTGAGGTGATTATTATGGACTTAAAAGGGAGCACGCATCTGTGTCCATTCCCGGGGGCTTTGATGGGAATTGCGCGAAAGTCCGGGAGACCGGGCTTCGACCTCGCCTCCGAGACTAACCGTACGTCCCTCTCTCGCTTTCTCTTTTCCCCAGACTATAAAACAAGCCTCCCAAGATTGTCATCCACTTGATTCCCGTATCCTTTAATAAAAAACAGAAGGATGACGATTCCCGCGGCTAAGCAGCGCCGCTCATCGTCTCCAGTTGTCTCTTCCCTCGGCACGCGTCGACAGAGTTGGTTGGGCGACTTGCAAAAGCCTTCACGGGCAGTAATGGACAAGAATTTCTCTTCAACGAAGTCACCCTTTATGAATGCAGCACCTGCACGGACATCAACAACCTTACTGTCTCAGCAGGATGGTGACTGTTTGGAAAGCACTGGGCCTTCGCAAAAGATAAAGGTGTGTCCCAAGCCGCTTCTCCTCTCCAAACAACAAAATGGGCCGGAGGACGAAGCGACTTTTCAATCAGTTCAAGTAGTCTGTCGTTTTCGACCACTCCGGGAGGAGGAACCCTTTGAATGGTACAAAGCAGTAGAAGACAGTGGAGCGGTTTCTGTAAATACATCTGAGCGTACCTTGAATTTCGCTTTCGATCGGGTTTTTGGTTCTCAGGCCACACAGGCAGACGTCTACGGTTCTGTCCGCCACGTGGTGCTAGGTCTGCTTGATGGCTTCAACGGTACCATCCTAGCCTACGGGCAAACTGGCAGCGGTAAAACTTACACAATGATGGGACGGCCTGAGAAACGAACAAACCCAGTGTACGGTCGCCCGGAAAGTCCCCGTCCTTCGACCGGCCACTCTGAGGGAGTGGGCTTCATTCCACGCGTGGTGGATGATCTATTTGCTATGGTTGAAGAGTTTCAGGATACGATAGAATTCACAATCTGTGTTTCCTGTGTAGAAGTTTATTGCGAGAAAGTACGCGATTTACTGAATCCTAGTAGAAGCGCAGACTTGAAGCTCCGCGACGACCCGTACGGCGGCGTAGTTGTAATGGGAGCAACTGAGATCTTCGTGGAAAGTCAGGCTGAGATGCACAGTGTGATTGAGGCTGGACAATTGGGGCGCGTGACGGCGGCTACGGGAATGAACGAAGAGAGCTCCCGTTCGCACGCCTTGCTGCTCGTAAAAGTGACCCAGAAGAACACGGAGACGGAGCACATCCGTCGAGGCAAGCTCGTGATGGTCGACTTAGCGGGCTCCGAGCGCATTGCAAAGACAAGGGCTGAGGGTCTGCGTCTTGAGGAGGCGAAGAACATTAATCGGTCTCTCACGACACTAGGAATGGTCATCTCAGCGCTGGTTGACGGCGCCCCGCACGTCCCCTATCGCGACGCCAAGCTAACCCGCCTGCTCGCCGAGTCACTGGGCGGTAACTCCAACACATGCCTGATCGTGTGCTGCGCACCCGAATTGAGCCATTCTCAGGAAAGCATAAGTACGTTGCGCTTCGGGGAACGGGCCAAGAAGGTGAAGAACCACGCAGTCCGCAACGAGGAGTTGAGTATTTACGAGCTCCGAGAGCAACTCAGGTGCGCTTTAGGCGAGATAGAGCGCCTCAACGCCGCCTTGACAGGGACTACACAAGAGGATAAAGAAGGTTCACAAAGGGTTCCCGTCGTAGGCAGCGACGCGGGGCAATGTACACCCCCGGCAAAGGAGGATGCTTTACGCGCCCTTGTGTCGGCCGACCGCCCTCTACAGGTGGCGACAGACGAGGTCTTCCCCCATCCTGCTACGCCCGTTTCGATTGTGCCCCTTCTCGCGGGTGAGCAGTGTCATTCACAATCAGCAGCTTTTCCTGGCGGCGAGGCCGAGCCTACACCGTCACCGTCATCAGCACTGGACAATAAGGCGGGACGCGTGGAGGGGAAGGAATCGTCTTTGGCGCCCTTTATGGCGTCGTCATTCGCGACAGGTGCTTACTCATCTTTCGGAAATTCCGAAAGTCGAGGAGAGCTGACTGCCTCTGAAGCACATTCAAGCAAATTGCTCGCTTTCCTAATAGAGAGCGAAAGGGAGAAAGACGAGCTGCGCGGCAGGAACCAGGAGCTAAGTGCTCGGATTCTCGAAGAGGAGACGGCGGTTGCGCGAGTCTTGGAGGAGCAGGAGGCTCTTCAAACGCGGCTGGGCGAGGCAGAGGCGTGTTTGAACCAGATGATGCGGGCGATGGGAAAAGTGAGCCAGGGGCCGGCGAGGAGCGAGAGTCTTAGGGCGGACGGGCGGGGGCACATAGGCGAAGGGGTAAATGGCGCGTCTTCACCTCCCGAAGAGGTATCAGAAAGGGAGCAAGGTAAGCACACAAAGTCATTAGGAGTCTCGCCCGCTGTCCAAGATGATGAGAGTGTCAACCACAGTACGAGTGTTTCGGGACCCATGTCGCCTAATTTAGAGCAGATTTACGAGGAGAAGCTCCTAAGCGTAGAGCGGGTAAGAGTAGAGGCCGGAGAGTCGGGACAGGTTGGGAATTGATTCCTGTTCTCGGTTTAAAAGCTTTGATCTAAATTTCAGGCATTAACGTCCGAATATTATGTGATTTCGCATGCTCTTGAGAAGTTCTTTTTGCCACACGACAAGACCGCTCACATGGTGTCTTACCCTTTCAATACATGCTCCAGGTCTGCACATACCTTCAAGATGAATGCGATGCTCAGCGAGATGCATTCGAGCACGTGAACAAGGCTCTCCTCAATCAAAATGCGCAACTCGCCTTGCAGAAAGACGGCCACGTGCGTCGAATTTTCGCATTAGAAATCAAGATTCAGGAGTTGGAGACAGCGCTTTGCTCTCTTGGTCGGGATCACACGGAAAATAGACGTGAAGGAGCAGAGAATACCCTGCGGGACAGGCTTGGGCTTGTAAACTTGCTGCAATTTCCTTCGTTCTCGCTCTCTCATACAACACGACAAGCAATCAAGATCATACCAGGCGGGCGTAAGACAGGCGGTAGTTTGTCAGGGTCAAGATCTAAGAAAGGAACGGGGGAACAAGAAATGCAGAAGGTGTGATGAGTGTCGAAGGCCGCTTTAGACAAGGTAAGTTCAAAAGCAAAATTTTGCTATTGTTGTGTAGTAAGAAAAAGTTGACAAACTGAAAGACACGACGGAATGGAATGAAATTGCTCTCAAGAGGAAACACGTCACGTTCGATGAGTAGACAATGTGTAGTATGTGTATGTTATTTCAAAAAATAGAGCTGTGAGCGAATTACTCATTTCTTACTTTGCCTTTTGCACTCCTAACAGAATACTTTAAGTTCTGTGCTTTTTTGAATGTGAATTCGTTGTTATCATCGTTATTATCACTTCTGTAATTGCGCATGAATCATACGTAGTAGACTGAAATATAGAGGGAGTGCGGGTATTCCTGATTTATCTGTATATGCATCCTTTTTCTTGCGAAATCCGTGCAGCAATTCTTGCTATCGTTTTTCATCCTATTGACTTATTGCAGAGTGTGAGCTTTACAAACTTGTTCCACCTAAGCCCCCTCAGTGCTGCACATCGAATTAAACCAAAAGTTCTACGGACGTCGACTGACGGAGCCCACTTTCCGCTTGCAGCGGGTGCAGAACCATGTATCATCACTAGGAACCTCATACAGCCCCGCACAGCTCAGGTGAAAGGCGCTGGTGCAAGCGTCGCAACAGACCAAGTCACCGCTGCAGCCACATGAGTAACAGATGTCCTCACTCATGTCCCCCCAAAGGCCCTTAGACTCGCTCTGCCTCATAAATGCGAGCATGTCACTCACAGCCTGCCATCGACTTTCGTGCCAACTTTGCACCCTCGCTGCGCCAGCGCGCTTCACGGCAAAGGGCAAAGCTGCGGCCTCACGCCAGCGCATCTCTCGCAGAGAAAGAAGACCAAATCGGCGAAGCCGGTATTTCCGGCGTATGACAGCCGTGCTTCTTTCTCTAGATCGTCGCAAAGCTAAATCTGTTAGTTCAATCAGAACCTTGGCCGGGGGCCATGCGTGCTTGTCAAGGTCGCGGCCAATTCCATTCGCTTCCCCTTTCGTAAGTTTCCTATCCTCTTTCCTTGTCATGGACGATGCCGATGTCGTTTCTGTCACTGTACTACTGCTTCTGCTCTCGCATCCCATCTCTCTCTCGTCTAAGTGGACCGTAAGCATAGATTCCAGCCGCGTCTGCAAAGCCTTGCACGGCAACAGGGCAATATGGGCCTGCCTCGTCCCTGTTGCTGCCCTCGCATCGACATTGAGCGCCTCTGTCACGTTCAAGAGAGTCGTGCAGGAATTGCTGCGAGCCGATACAAGTACAGTTTCACTCTTTTGTTCACGAGCTCGCAGAGCCCTCTTCCTTTCTCGTGTCACGACGCCAGGTCCGTCATAGGTCAACCACAGTCGTGACTTCTGTGCTTGATGCATCTCCTCCGGGGCTGTACGTCCATTGAAGAACAAAACTAGAGACCCAAAATTATCCAAAGGCTTATTTCCAAGCATCGCTCGGAAGGCCTGAACCTCAGATAACGTGCGCTGCAGCTTTTCTAGGCGGTCGGATACAGGAGCTTGACTGTCACCCCCTCCCCCGGCTTCGTCTCGGTAGGCTTTACCCGCCAAGACTTTGCGGCAATTGACGGCTCCGCATCGGCACCGCTTAGGTCGCGCTCCTTCAAAGTTGGCAAATTGATAATCCCAGCAATATTCGGTGCCTGCTGGAATATCTTTGATCGCGAAGATACCCAACCGGTAACTCCCTCCCACATTCCATTTCTCCAACCGGCAATTAGGATCGCATGAGTGATTCAAGAATCGACTTTCGTTGCCATAATAGCGAGCATCTACTGTTGTTCCCATCGCTTCGACCATATAAAAGTCTGCCTCCTCGCCTTCTTCCTGCTTT